TTATGGGCCACATGTGGTCCTTATCTCTCCTCCTTTCCTTTCCATCTTTACTTTCCTCTTCTCTCCTCCTCCTTTTTTTTTTTTTTTTTCCCCAAAGAAAATACTGCCTTGGTTAGTTTTTCACGATTAGGGCCTTCATATAAGTGATATCATTATGAAAGCTTTCTTTTTTCATTTTTTTTAACAACCTTTCAAAAAAATGTAAAAACTGTTCTTAGCTGTTGACCCTACAGAACAGGCTATGGGCTAGATTTTCCCCATGAACAGGACTTTGCAGACTTCTGATATAAAAGTGTATGTCTGAATAAATTTGATGTATGTCATGTTTTTATATAGAGCTCCTCCATGCTGTAGAAGTTGTCCCAGAGTAATCCAAAAATTCAGTGCAATTCTGATAAATATCACATCGAGATTTTGTAAAGTAGACTGTGATAAGCTTATTTTAAAATTGGTCTGCAAGAGGAAATGTTTAACAGTAGCCAAGAAAAGTTTGAAAAATCATTGAGGGGGGCTTTTCCTACAGAATATAAAAACCAGTTCTTTATAAAACAGTATAGTATTGGCATAAGAATAGACAAATCAATGAAACAGAAAAGGATCCATATTTATAAAATTTATTCAACTAATTTTCCTGAAGTCATGTTTCATCTTGAATGTATACTTGGTTTTTCTAAAAATGATTTTGTATTCTTTTATTTTCTTTCTGGGTTTAGGTATAAGTGTGCTAGCAGAGTGTCTAGATTGTCCTGAATTGAAAGCAACTGCAGATGACTTTATTCATCAGCATTTTACTGAAGTTTACAAAACTGATGAATTTCTTCAACTTGATGTCAAGCGAGTAACACATCTTCTCAACCAGGACACTCTGACTGTGAGAGCAGAGGATCAGGTGACTAAAGTGCCTTCTTACATTTTTCTTAATAAAAATGACTTTATTGATTTCTTATAACTCATGTTTGGACACATGACAAGAGAAACAGTCTATTAGGAAAGAATATGTTTTTTACACTAAACAGTGAGTATTGCAATCTTAGATGCTTGCCAGGCTGGCTGTTTGAGAAAGAGGCCACTTCATAGAGATGAAACCATTGGGTACCATGGTAGGCAGAACAACACCATCCCCAAAGATGTTCACTTCCCAATCCCCAGTATCTAGAATATATTACCTATGTGGCAGATAGGACTTTGCATATGTGACTGAGTTAAGAATTTTGAGATGAGATTATCCAAGTGGGTCCAGTGTAATTGTAAAGCGCCTTACATTTGGAAGAGGGATGCAAAAAAGGGCAGCATTAAGTGGTGTACTGTGAGAAAGACTTGACTAGCCATTGCTGTCTTTGAAGGTGGAAGGAGACCATAAGCCAAGGAATGCAGGCAGCTGCTAGATGCTGGAAAAGGCAAGGAAACGGTTTCTCCTATAGAGTCTCCAGGCAGACATGTTGGTTTTAGTCCATCGAGACCCATTTTGGGCTCTGACCTATAGAATTGTCAGATAAACTGTCAGAAGTGTAAGCTGGGTGCAGTCATGTGGGAGTTGGGTGGGGGAACACTTTATTTGTTTATTTAGAGATGGAGTCTTGCTCTGTTGCTCAGTCTAGAGTACAGTGGTGTGATCTTGGCTCTTTGCAACTTCCATCTCCTGGGTTCAAGCGATTCTCATGCCTCAGCCTTCCAAGTAGCTGGGATTACATGCATGTGCCACTATGCCCGGCTAATTGAGATGAGGTTTCACCATGTTGGCCAGACTCGTCTTGAGCTTCTGACCTCAGGTGACCTGCCCACCTTGGCCCCCAAAGTGTTGGGATTACAGGCGTGAGCCACCGCACCTAGCTGTGGGAATACTTTACTATGTAGACTCACTTAATCTCTATTTTCAGCCCCACAGCCTTCTCTGTATTTTAAGCCACTAAGTTGGTGGCAATTTGTTAATAGCAGCAACAGAAAACTAATATAGGTACTATAAGATCATATGTTTTAGGTTACTTTTGTTCTAAAAACAAAAATTTGCACTTAGCAATATTCTTTTGCCCATTTGCAAGTTGACGGGTTGGACCTGGAGGGCCTCACTAGATTTAGGTTTTTTGTTTGTTTGTTTGTTTTGTTTTTTTTTTTGAGGTGGAGTTTCACTTATGTTACCCAGGCTGGAGTGCAATGGCATGATCTCGGCTCACTGCAACCTCCGCCTCCTGGGTTCAGGCAATTCTCCTGCCTCAGCCTCCTGAGTAGCTGGGATTACAGGCACGCACCACCATGCCCAGCTAATTTGTTGTAGTTTTAGTAGAGACGGGGTTTCACCGTGTTGACCAGGATGGTCTCGATCTCTTGACCTCATGATCCACCTGCCTTGGCCTCCCAAAGTGCTGGGATTACAGGCTTGAGCCACCGCGCCTGGCCTTAGATTTACTTCTATGATCAAAATTAGTTGACTTATATGTAATATGGAAAAGGAATAACAAATAACTTTACACTGGAGAAATGTGATAAACACTACCTACAGGTGGTCGGCATTAGCATCATCTGTGATGTCATGTTGATAATATGCACAGTTGATGTAATGAAAATGGCATTCACCTCTCTGATTGTCCTCCTAAAAAACCACAACCTCAGTCTAGTAAGTAACACATCAGACAAACCCAGATTGAAGGACATTCTCAACAAAATACCTGACCAGAACTCAAAACTGTCAACGTTGTCAGAAACAAGGAAAGGCTGAAAAACTCACGATCTAGAAGATTCTAAGGTTTAATGACGACATGTAATGTGTCCTTTATGTTATTGTGAAACAGAAAAATAACACTAGATAAAAATTAAGGAAATTCCCCCAAAATATGAAATTTAGTTAAATGTATCAATATTGGTTCATTAGTTGTGACAAATATACCATACTAAAGCAGCATCTTAAGAACTGTTGCAGGGTATATGGAAACTCTTTATGCTATCTATCTCTGCAACTTTTCTGTGAATCTAAAACTGTTCTAAAACAAAAAAAATTGTTTAAAAAAAAAAAGATTAATTCCCAGCCGGGCACGGTGGCTCACGCCTGTAATCCCAGCACTTTGGGAGGCCGAGGCGGGCAGATCATGAGGTCAGGAAATGGAGACTGTCCTGGCTAACATGGTGAAACCCCTGCTCTGCTAAAAATACAAAAAAATTAGCTGGGCTTGGTGGCACAAGCCTGTAGTCCCAGCTACTCTGGAGGCTGAGGCAGTAGAATTGCTTGAACCCAGGAGGCGGAGCTTGCAGAGAGCCAAGACTGCGCCAAGATCGCACCACTGCACTACAACCTGGATGACAGTACAAGACTCTGTCTCAAAAAAAAAAAAAATAATTCCCATAAAAAATTAACTCAGAGATTAAAAGTTGGATCTTATTAATATCACCCCAAAATTAATTTAGTTTAAACATCACCCCAAAATTGATTGTGTATGGGAGATGTGTATATATATGAAGTAATTGATTTTGGGGGGTGTTTAATGATTTGTAAGTTAAATTATGTTGATGAACTTGGAGTTGTTCAGTGTAGTTAAATGAAACTACAGTATTATTTTGGAAAACAATTCTTTTAAATATCCTGTAATTTTTAAGTATTGAATTCTTTATATCTTAAAGTTTCTGGAAGGTTGATAAGTCTATCAATTCATAATGCAGGAATTTAATATTGAAATAAAATCATGGGTGATCTTCATATCTGCCAGAATGGATGGCCGCTTGAGAAATTAACCTGTTTTCCTGGTCCTAAACTAAATGAGTGTTGTATGTTGAAACTTTTAATGACTGATAGTTGTTTGTTTGTTTGTTTTTTTCATTGCAATGTATATCTTGTCTTTGTCTGAAAAGGAAGCTATCTTTTTTTAATCATAAATTTAACATCTTCCCTGTCATTACATTACATAATAGTAGTTAGTTCTGAAAAACATGTTACCTACAAGACTTACTAGAGCAGTATGTAAACTGTTCTGAAGTACCGGCAAGCGTCCAGGGATGAAAAATATTAGGAATAAGTGATTGTCTCCTTATGAGATCCTCTCCCTTCAATGTGAGAATAAACATGGATAATTGAAAATGTTGCTGTCTTCTAAGAACTTTACTGTGCTGTTTTTTCCCCCTTAGGTTTATGATGCTGCAGTCAGGTGGTTGAAATACGATGAACCTAATCGCCAGCCATTTATGGTTGATATCCTTGCTAAAGTCAGGTTTCCTCTTATATCAAAGAATTTCTTAAGTAAAACGGTACAAGCTGAACCACTTATTCAAGACAATCCTGAATGCCTTAAGATGGTGATAAGTAAGTTGCCTTATTATCTATTTGTAACCTAATCATGTAGCCAGTTTCTCATGGGCTTAAAACCCCTTAGAATGGAGTAGACTCAGTAACCAGGGAGAAGCATTCAAGATTTTGCTCCTCTAGAAGTTAATCTCTTGTGTTTCTGAACTGTACACCTGAAGGCACTTGGCCTCAGCCCTTATTTTATAGGGGTATATGTGATAGAAGGTAAAAATTACTTATGCTTTTTCTACTCATATACAATAACTTTCATGTACTTTGTTTCTTTTTTTTTTTTTCCATTTATTTTATTGCATTTTAGGTTTGGGGGTACATGTGAAGAACATGCAAGATTGTTGCATAGGTACACACGTGGCAGTGTGATTTGCCACCTTCCTCCCATCACCTACATCTGGCATCTCTCCCCTTGCTATCTCTCCCCAACTTCCCTCCCCCCACTGTCCCTCCCCTATTTCCCCCCAACTGTCTTGTACTTTGTTTCTAGTGTTTCCTTTTTTATTTTACTTAGCCAGGTAGTGTACTCTGATCACTTTTTCTTTCTTTTTTTTTTCAGTTTCAAATTTAATTTCATTAACTTAAAACATATACCAAATGTTTATTTCAAATCTAAATTGAAATTTATCTGAAACAAGTAACTTATTTCAAGTAACTTATTGTACAGTCCATTCTCCATTTAAAAATATTCTTTCTTCCCAAAATAACCTGCACTGAAAGACAAAAAAGTCTTTTATACTGCATAAAAGTGAGATGCAAACTTCTGATGTAAATTTTTTTCACTGTCTACTCTGATGATAAAGATGAGAGGCACAAGTGTTCACAGTTCAGTTCAATGATGCAAACATAAAGCTTCTGTTTTCCTCTGATACAAATTAGAAGCCTCCATTCATGTCTTCTAAATAGTACCACATACTTGATGCTGATCCTAGGTTGCTTCTTTTTCTTTCCTTTCCCTTTTTTACTTCTTACTCCTTGTTGAAGACTTTGGTCACCACCTCTTGTTTTTTGTGTCCTTGTTTTTAGTTTGGGTATCATTTCTGCTGCATACAGCATTACTGACTTACCCAGGAACCGGAAGTTAGGCTTAGTGTATAATGTGATGGGAACTGTACAAGGCAAAGGCTGCCATCTTGTTAGAGCTGGACCCAGACTGTGCCTCTGTATTGGATGTCGCAATTCCATTCTCTAGAGTACATTTTATTTTTCTGAAGAAATACATTAAGTCCAACTGCTGAACATACATCTTGAATCTCTGTAGCTGTAGAATTTTCAATAGCCTTACTTATGGGGATTCGCCTTCCCTCTGTGATGATCTTCTTATTATTTAAATAAGCAGGATAGATGCAAATAAACCTGTCCTGGTTGGCCAGGGACGGTGGGGCAGCGCAAGCCATCTTCACAAGAGTCCAAACATCAACAACCCAGAAGCTACAGGGAGAAACCCGGGAGGAACCCAGCTCTCCACATTTTCTTTCTTAAACAGTATTTTATCTTCCTTTTTTGGCCCAGAGCTAAAACTTACCACATTGTTTCATTTGCTTTGATTTTTTTTTTTTTTTTTTTTTTTTTTTTTTTTTTTTTTTTTTTTTTTTTTTTTTTTTTTTTTTTTTTTTTTTTTGACTTGCTGGCTAAGTCCCAACTCCTCCACACCTTTGTAAAATATCACTTAATAAAATTGTCTATACAATTAAACAATCTGTTGTTTAAAATTGTCTATACAATTAAACAATCTTTAAAATTGTCTATACAATTAAACAATCTCTCTTGGAAACCTGTCTTGTAGAACCTTCCTTTTGCCTATTCCAATATGAACTGTTTGCTCTCTAGGCCTGAGGCACAGTTCTTGTCCTGGGGCTTCCTTCTCCACAATCCTGGGAAGCCTTTTCACTCCTCTCCTGTTAGATCTGTTGTCTTCTCGGATCCTGGCTTTCCTCTATCTTAATTCTTTTTGTTTCATGCAGCATATCCTCTAAAAAGTTCCTAATAGAGAATATAATCAGTGAATATTTGGAGACTTGACAAATTTCATGTTTATTTTACTGTAAAATATTGAAGGAGGCTGGGCACACTCGCCCACACCTCTCATCACAGCACTTTGGGAGGACAAGGCAGGAAGACTGCTTGAGGTCAGGTGTTTGAGATTCACCTGGGCAACATAGATTCCAACTCTACAAAAAAAAAAAAAAAAAAAAAACTCTAGCCTGGCATGGTGGCATGTGCCTGTGGTCCTAACTATTCCAGAGGCTGAGGCAGGAGGATTGCTTGAGCCCACGAGTTTGAGTTACAGTGAGCTCTGATACTGCCACTGCACTACTCCAGCCTGGGCAACAAAGTAAGACCCTGTCTCTTGAGAAAAGAAAAAGAAAAAGTTAAACTCAACATAGAGTTATGCTGAAAATCATTTTCAGTTAGAATTTATCCACTAGCTTCCAATGTTACTTTTGAGAAGTCTAGTGCCAGTCTGATTCTTTTCATTTTTTTTATTATCCATCTTTGTCTCTTGGCCTTTTTCTGAGAGATAGCTTGATTTTTTTCAACCCTTTTATTTCAGCTATAATTTTTAATTTCTGGAGTTTTTATTCTCTAATTTCTTATTTCATGGCTGCAATATCTTATCACTCTAAAGTAGTCTATGTAGTGCTTTTGAAGTTTTCTTATGTTGTCTGTATTTTCTATATTATTTTGTGTTTTCTTTTCCTTTTTTCAGTGAAAGCTTGTCTTAAATATTTGATTTTATATCATATGAGAGTGAGTTATTACAAAACTGTTAGATCAGGCTGCACATATGAGTGGGCTTCTCAGTTCTTGTGCTAAACTGTAGCATAATCAGAATAGCTGGTCATTTTTTAAATTGGGGACCCCCAGATGTTAATATTTGTAGGTATTGTCTCAAGGAACTATAAGCTGAGTGTAGGCATTTGGGAACTAGATAAGGTAATATTTTGCTATGCAGACTTTCACTTAATCCATATTTTTATTTTACTTTTTTTTTTTTTGAGATGGAGTCTCACTCTGTCCTTTAGGTTGGAGTACAGTGGTACAATCACAGCTCACTGCAGACTTGACCTCCCCAGCGCAAGTGATCCTTTCACCTCAGCCTCCCAAGTAGCTAGGACTACACACACATGCCACTATCCCCAGCTAATTTTTTATTTTTTTTGTCAAGATGAGGTCTCACTATCTTACTCAAGCTGGTCTCAAACTCCTGGGCTCAAGCAATCCTGCTACCTAGGCCTCCCCAAGATGCTGGGATTATAGGTGTGAACCACAGTGCCTGGCCGTAATCCATGTTTCCGGACTCCATCCGTCTCTGAGCTGTCCCCTGAGTCTGGAACATTTCTGATGCAGTATTTCCAAACACCAATCCTGTCTCCTATGGTGGGTACAGGTACAATGGATACCTGACTGTGCAACAGAGGAAGGAAAACTGGAAGTTAAATTTTGGTTTTTCGGTATTTTAGAGTTCTCTTATTTTCTTCCCTTCCTGCACTTCTGGGTACTTACTATCTCCAATTATGAGGCTTTTCAGGATTCTGCAGGGTAATTTGGCTTGCTTTTCATTGGTGTCTCCTGGCACAACCATATAGGTTTAACAGGCACTCCATCTGCTAGCTGTCTTCATTAATTGTGTTTTGGGGTTACAAATCTCTTAGTATTATCAAAGATAGAATTTGTGTTTCTTGTTTCCTTGTTGTTTGAGATAGCTTTCAAGAGAAGAGGAGAAAAAAGATCTTAAAATGGCAAGCCTGATCTCATGTTGTTTTTATATTGTTAAGTCTGAACCAGTCTTTTCCTTTGTGATGTGGTTGGAAAGATCTTCCCTGTTCCAAGGTGATTTTTAAAAATTATCTAAATTTTCCTGTTGTGCATTTATCACTTATATATTGTTGTTTCTTCTTTTTCTTCTTCTTCTTCTTCTGCTGCTGCTGCTTCTAATTTTAAGCCTGTATCTTACTGAAATCTATTTGGTGTTAAATAAATAATTTTTTTTTTATAATATATCTGATAAGATGGCTCAGTACCATTATTAACTAATTCATTGTTTTCCCATTGATTTGAAACATGGTAGACTAAATTTCCACATATCCATGTGTATATACATCACTTCTCAGGCTTGGCTAAGATCAAGTGTAGTGTAGGTATACATACCCATAGTCAGTTTCTTTCCTACTTCATTCTAATACCTTTTAATTATTGTTGTACTCATTTAAAATGCCATGTATCTCTGGAGAATTTGTAATTTTCTTCCTGCTAGTGCAGTGGCACCATCTCCGCTCACTGCAACCTCTGCCTTCTGGGCACAAATGATTCTTGTGCCTTAGCCTCTCAAGTAGCTGGAATTACAGGCACACGCCACCACACCCAGATACTTTTTGTATTTTTTTTTTTTTTAATATGGAACGCTTCACAAATTTGTGTGTCATCCTTGCGCAGGGGCCATGCTAATCTTCTCTGTATCGTTCCAATTTTAGTATATGTGCTGCCGAAGCGAGCACTACTTTTTGTATTTTTAGCAGAGACAGGGTTTCACCATGTTTGTCAGGCTGGTCTCAAACTCCTGGCCTCAAGAGATCCACCTGCCTTAGCCTCCCAGAGTGCTGGGATTACAGGTGTGAGCCACCATACCTGGCCCAGGCTGGTTAGTTTTTATGATCTTTTTTCCTTGCTTGTGTTTTTAGCTCTTGCTTTACTTTAAACTCTTCAAATGTTATTTTATGTTCTATGTTTGATAATGCCAGTATCTGAAGTCCCTGAAGAACAATGATGCTATTTATTGGTTCTGTTGACTTATTTATGGTGACTTAATTCCTTACATGTTTTGTCATTTTGAATGGTGTGCTTATATTTGATTGACCTTAATCATCAGGAATATTGGGAGGCTTAGGTTGTGTCTTCTATGTTCTCTGGTAGGTCTTCTTTGTTCTCCTCAATAGGATAATGGTGTTTGCTTTTGCCAAGTTCCATATGGAACAACAATCCAGGACTACTTTGAGTTTTCTTTGGCTTATAGTTTCCTAGACTTGCAAGTAGGGTAAATTCAAACTTCAAACCTGCATAAGGGTAGGGCTGTAAATATAAATTATCAAAAGAGGGAGACTTTACCTCTACCTGAAGCCAAAGTTGAAGCAGACAAATTATTGCTGCTTCTTGTGCCATCAGGCAGATGTTTTTCTTAGCCTATCTTTTCACTCAAGGTGTAACCAAGTGATCCAGCTTTATCCCAGTTCCAACTCCTTATCTTGAGCAGATCCAAGACTATCTTCTCTGCCTTATACAGCCAAAAAAAAAAACAATTTCTGGGTTTCCAGTATTTTCACTAGACTTATAACATAGCTACTGCTTACTAGTATTATGCAGTTTTAGGTAGGTAGACTCAATGTTGTCCCTAGATTGGAAAAAAATATATCCATACAATGTAATGTTCTATAGTTACTAAAAATATTTCACATGAATATCTAGTAATGTGGAAAATTTTCATAAGTGGCAAAGGAATAAAATAGTATTTTTTAATTAAATGAAAACAAAACTGAAATAGACTATGTTTGAACCTAGTTGAGGTTGTCAAGGTGAAAGGAGAAGAGGTGTGTGTCAAGGACACATCCTTACAAATACCTATATTTAAGGAGTGCAAGAAGATTTAAAAAAAAAAAGGGGGGGGTGACCACAAAGCTACTTGCACCAAAGTCTTGAAAAACCATGATGTAAGAGAGTATTCAGAAGGTAGAACATAGGTGGCCACTTGTCTCTTTAAATGCAGAGAGGAAAGAAAATCAGGACCAAGAAGATGCCTTTACATTAGGACTTTCATCTCCCATATTTTGTACATGCTAATGTCAGGTTTTTTTGTTATGCCCAGTTCCCAAACTGTATGTTGTTTTTCTGGCCTTAGAATTTCATTGGGTAGAGAGCTGCTCCTGTTTCTTCATACATGGTCTGGGCTGTTGAAAACAACCAGCCAGTCTCAGAATCTAGTGTTCTTACATGGATTCTGAACTGATTTAGAAACAGGATAGCAGCATTGTTTCAGAAATTCAGCCAAGCGTGACGATTAGACACTGGAGCAGGATGCTTTGTTGTACTAGGCTTATTACATTTTTTTTTTCTTTTCCTTTTTTAAAATAAAAAATAGTGGGTTGTTTTATTACTTTGTGACTAAGCACAAGCGGCTAAGATACTTCCAAGCTTTGGGGCTGGGAAGAGCAAAAGTGGGGAAAGACTTCCATCCTCTCTTTTTCAGACCATCATTTGTCTTCCTACCACCTGACTTTGTTGCCTTTCCAGAGTAGAAGAAAAACAGAAAAGACGATTGAAAAATAGAATAAAACTTCGAAGTGCACAAAGCCTCCACAAAGGGCCAGGCCAACTTGGTGTTTTAGTTGTTTTTTTGAGACGGAGTTTTTGCACTGTCACCTGGACTAGGGTGCAATGGCACTATCTTGGCTCTCTGCAAGCTCTGCCTCCTGGGTAACCCATTAAGCGATTGTCCTGCCTCAGCCTCCCGAGTAGCTGGGCTTACAGGTGCCTGCCACCATGCC